ATAATAATAATAATAATAATAATAATAATTCCTTGGCAGGATACGCCCCGAATGAACTGCCGGTGAAGGCCAAGCGCAGCACCTACAACTACAGCCTCCCCATCACCTTGAAGAAGCCAGGTAAGGTTTTGCCATAGAGAGACAGCCTGGAAAAAGTCCTTAAATCCATTTTCAGTGGGACAGGACCTCTCGGAGAAAGAAGTAGACTCACAGATCCAATGCTCACAACCTCTGAAGATGCCTGCCACAGATGCAGGCAAACCGTCAGGAGAGAATGCTTCTAAAACATGGCCATTCGGCCCGAAAAACCTACACCAAGCCCTATATTCCAGAATATCAAGGCAGAAAATCCCACAATACCTGCTTGGAGCTGGGTTCTCTTGAGTCCACACTCCAATAATGTGGGATTTCCTGCCTTGATATTCTGGGAAAGAGGACTGTGTGGATGCACCCTCGGATAACCCACTTTAAGGTACAAGTGTTGAATGAAAAGTAATGCCTCCCCCTTCACAACTCCTCAACAGATGGCAGTACTGGTATGCGGCAGGTACTGGCTTCTTCAGTAGACTCTCCTCTACAGTTCCATTTTGGCAGGAAGCCTTAGCATTGAATGGTTGTGTTGTTAAAGTGGGAAGTATGGAACCCTGTGCAGACGGTCGGTTAATGCAACTTAAGCAACGTGCAGTCATTGAATTCTTGACAGCAGAAGGTGTCGCCCCAAAGGAGATTCCTCAGAGAATGCAAGCTGGTTATGGTGATTGTGTTGATGTGAGTACTGTGTGTCGTTGGGCGAGTAAGTTTAAAGATGTTGAGGTGGGAACATTTGACTTGCGTGACAAACAAAGAATTGGATGTCCTGTGACAGCAACCACCAAGTTTCACAAGCAAAAGGTTGACAGGTTGATTCAGGACGAGCGTCGCATCACTCAGGGAGAAATTTCAAGCATAATTGGCATTTCACAAGGACATGTGGGTCACATTATTGCTTTGCTTGGCTATCGGAACATCTGTGGACGATGGGTTGCGGAAACAGGGTGTCAACTTCTGTGGCGGCTTCAGAACACTTGTTCATTGTTGGCAGAAATGTATTCAATTTTCTGGTGATTTTGTGGAAAAGTGAATAGTGGTAGTTAAAGAGCACATTCTAAGGATTATTTCTGTGTTTGATTTATTAAAATATTCCCATCAAGTAACGAAGGTGGAGGCATTACTTTTCATTCAACGCTTGTAGATATTGTGGGTTATTGTGCCTTCATATTGTGGCTTCTAGGGTTGTGTGGAAGGGCCCTGGGTTATCTGAGTCTACACTGCTATATATTCCACTTGAATGCTGGTAATGAGGGATTTTATTCAGGTGTGTGGAAGGGGCCTTGGATACAAACGCAACCAAAGAGCAAACCTAGAAGACTGGTTTTGTTCGTAGGTGGAAGGCTGCCTGTCATTCCCCAGGAGTGTCTTTTCCTTTCTCTTCCTAAAAGGCCTCAAGGCTATAAAGCTTCCCCCACCCACACGCACCACTCTCCGGACGCACTCTGTCGATGCTCAGCGGCAGCCTTGACCCACCCAGGCTCATCCTCCTCCTTGAAGCACAACCGAAGCACTTCTCACAGATGGCCATTCAGACTCCGATGGGAAGGGGAGGGGAGGGGAGGGAGGGAAGAGACAGGACAGACACCAGAACACAGGGCATGAATTTAAAACAGGCCGTGTCTTGAAAATTCCCTCTTTTTCCTCCATCTCCAGCCAGCCATTCGGCCGGCATCCAAGACCTCAAGCGAGGGCTGAGCTCCACCGGACCCTCCGGCGCACGGAAGCCGGCCTCCTGCAAATACAAGCTGAAAGTGAGTAAGTGGGGGCCTCTTTTCTGCATTTGAAGTAGAATCCTTCCCCTTCCCTTCTCTTCCTTTCTTCCCCTTTCCTCCTACCTTCTTTCTTTTCTTTCTTTCTTTCTCCCCTTTCCCCTCTTCTTCCTCCTTCTCCTTCCCTTCTCCTCTCCTTCCTTTCCTTCCTTCCTTCCTTCCTTCCTTCCTTCCCTCCTCCCTCCTTCCCTCCCTCCCTCCTCCCTCCCTCTCCTCCCTCCTTTTCCTTCCTTCTCTTCCCCTTCCTTCCTTCCCCTCTCTCCCCTTCCCCTTCTTTCTCTTTCTCTTCCTTCCCCCTTCCTTTCCTTTCCCTTTCCCTTTCCCTTTCCCTTTTCCCTTTCCTTTCCTTTCCCTTTCCCTTTTTCCTTTGCCATGCTTCCTGCAGGCTTTCACTCCACCGCCAGTAGTTTACAACTTGGATGGATATTCATAACAGGACACCTTCTTTACATACGAATACAGGTATGGGCAAACTCAAGCCTGGGAGCTGAATGTGGCCCTTTGGCCTCTTTTCTCAGGCCCTCCTCTCTCTCACCATCCTATCCTTCCTTCCTTCTCTCTTCCCTTCCTCCTTCCCTCCCTCCCTCCTTTCCTTCCTTACCTCCCTCTTTCTCCCTCCCTCCTTCCTTCCCTTCCACCCTTTCATCCTACCTTCCTTCCCTCTTCCTTCCTTCCTTCCTTCCTTCCTTCCTTCCTTCCTTCCTTCCTTCCTTCTCTTTTCCCTTCCTCCTTTCCTCCTTCCTTCCTTTTCCTTCTCTCCCCCTTCCTTCCTTTCCTCCCTCCCTTCCCTTCCTCACCATGCAGACCCTTTCTCCCATGCCTTTGACTGTGCTTTCCCTGCAAGGCAAAATTAAGGGGGTTGGAATAGATGGCCCCTGGAGTTGCTCCTATTGAGATGATTGTTGTTGTTGTTGTTATTGTAAAGGCTGGATAGTCCCTGAGATTGTTGTTGTTTTTGTTGCAAAGGCTGGATAGTCCCTGGGATTGTTGTTCTTGCTATTGTTGTTATTATTATTAGGAAAGCAGGGAAAGGGAAGACCTTATTTTTTTCCCCTTTCCTATTGGAGGCGGCAAGGCCTGCACCTGATCCTGCTCTTGCCTGGCCTGGGAGGCCCACTGCCCCACCACGCCAGCACCACCTCCGATGGGAAATGGGGAAAGGGCAAGGCCTTGCCTTTCCCCCTTTCCTGTCAGAGGTGGTGCCGGCGTGGTGGGGCAGCAGGACTCCCGGGCCAGGCAAGAGTGGGGTCTGGTGCAGGCGCAGGCCTCCTGTGGCCTAGCTGCTTCTTCTTCGCCTCTGCCTCCTCAACCTCCATACTCTTCCCATGGGACCCCTGCAGAGTTTTTCCGGCTGCCCAGCCCCGGCGGAGGAGGCCAGAGCCGTGTTGAGGAGAAGAATTGAGCCCAGAAGGTGGAAGACGGCAGGGGCTGAGATAAAGAATTACGCGAGGCTGGGGGGAGGGGGGGCGGGGAAAGGGAACGGCCTCGCCACGACAGGCCCCTTCCCGGAAACTGTCAGGCCTGGGCCAACTTCAGCTTTCCGAGGGTTTTGAATTTCAACTCCCAATATTCCCTACTTTGCGGTTTTTCACTTATTGCAGGGGTTGCTGAAACATAACCCCCACAATAAGTGAGGGAACACTGCAAGGGAAAGACTGAAGACTGTTTTGTTGCAGGTTTGGATGCATGAAAGGTTGGGATATTGGCCTGTAAAGGTTAAGACCAACCAAAGTCAACCATTTTCTGCGGGCAAAGTGGTAGAAGAAACATTCTGTTGATAGAGAAGCTGGAAGTGTGTGCCTGCGTTGCTGTGTTGACGCCTCCCTTTCTCCATAGGACTCCGTCTACATCTTCCGCGAAGGCTCTCTACCTCCCTACCGGCAGATGTTCTACCAGCTCTGCGACCTGAACGTGGAATGGTAGGGATTCCGATCCGAGCAACCCCCCCCCCCCTCTATTGACTTGTCATAGCCAGCAGTTTGGTGGTTTTGGTTTAGCTGGTCCTCCCCCTCCTGTTTGCAAGCCATCCCACTCACAAAGGACTCACAATGAAAGACAATGCTGGACTGGATGGCCCCAGGGAGTCCTTCCAAATCTATGATACTATATCTATCTCTCACATACATACACATACAGGCCGTCCCGAATTACAAACATCTGATTCACAAACAACTCCTAGTTTAGAACAGGGCTGAGATCACAGGAAGTGAGAGGAATTTTATTTTATATACTAGCTGTCCCCTGCCACGTGTTGCTGTGGCCCAGTCTATAAATCCCAGTAAGTACAAATCCCAAATGTCAAGGTCTATTTCCTCCAAACTCCATCTGTGTTCATATTTAGGCATATGGAATATTTGTGCCAAGTTTGGTCCAGATCCATCATTGTTTGAGTCCACAGTGCTCTCTGGATGTAGGTGAACTACAACTCCCAAACTCAAGGTCAATGCCCACCAAACCCTTCCAGTGTGTTCTGTTGGTCATGGAAGTCCTGTATGCCATGTTTGGTTCAATTCCATCATTGGTGGAGTTCAGAATGCTCTTTGATTGTAGGTGAACTATAAATCCCAGCAACTACAACTCCCAAATGTCAAGGTCTATTTCCCTTAAACTCCATCTGTGTTCATATTTGGGCATATGGAATATTCGTGCCAAGTTTGGTCCAGATCCATCATTGTTTGAGTCCACAGTGCTCTCTGGATGTGGGTGAACTATAATTCCCAAACTCAAGGTCAATGTCCACCAAACCTTTCCAGTTTTTTCTGTTGGTCATGGGAGCCCTGTGTGCTAAGTTTGGCCCAGTTCCATCATTGGTGGAGTTCAGAATGCTCTTTAATATTAATATTAATAGTGTTTAATATTGTTATTTTTGTACTCTATTATTATTCTATTATTTAATATTATTGTAGTATTTTATTATTTATTATAATCTCGTTGTGCGCCTGCCTGCAGCCTGCAGGAGATTGTCCACCGGAACGACGGGGCGGAGGGGGCCGTCTGCTCGGAGCGCGATGGGTGGTGCCTCCCGCGGACCAGCGACAGCCTGCGCGATGCCATGTCGCTCATGATCAAGCAGGTCATCCGCGCCACACGGCCCGGTAAGCCAGGCATGCCCTTCTTGCACACTCCTGTTGCAGAGAGGGCATGAGACAGAAGGAGACTGTTGGATTTCAGCTTGTGATTATGTTTCAGGATCAGGGTGCTTTGGATGTGGGGAATGATGTTAATGAGGTTCAAGATGAGTTTCAAGATGGCAGTGGTTTGGTCAGTGATATTGATGCAGAGAATGACCGGGAGATCCCTGTAGTTTCCCATAAGAATGTCCCTGAGGGGTGTGGGGAGGCACCTGCAGAAATTAATGAGCAAATAGATAATGAGCCAAGAGATAGACAAGAAGAGTTCAGTCAAAACAGGAGGGCTGTGCAAAGGCTTAGGCCAGGGGTCCTCAAACTTTTTAAACTGGGGGCCAGTTCACTGTCCCTCAGACCGTTGGAGGGCTGGACTATAG